CCACAGCACTCTACCCAGGGGGACAGCTCGAGGCTCTGTCTCAAAAAAAAACAAAAACAAAAAAAAAAAAGAAAAGAAAAGAAACAGAGTCTCTTGTCACTCTGGGTAGAGTGGTGACGTCAGCTCACAGCAACCTCAAACTCTTGGGCTTAAGTGATTTTCTTTCCTCAGCCTCCCAAGTAGCTGGGACTACAGGGACCTGTCACAATGCCTGGCTATTTTTTGGTTGTAGTTGTCATTGTTGTTTGGCAGGCCCAGGCTGGATTTGAACCTGCCAGCTCCAGTGTAGGTGGCTGGTGTCCTAGCCACTGAGCTACAGGTGCCAAACCTTATTTTTTGGTTATATAAAATTTTCTCTACGTTTAGGGTCACTGTGGCAAGAGTTCACAAGAAGTTTATGCAGAGCACTTGTTACCGTGTTTGGCTTGTGGTGAGTGATCTCAATAAATGGGAGTTTGCTGCTCAAGGGTGGTTTTTAAAAATAGGAAATGGCAGTAACAGTCCGAGCTTATAAACAGTCTTAGTATGTGACTGTGAAAGGGGCGAATGCTAACCTCACTTGAGCTCTTGGTTCCTAACAAATCTGAAGGAGGAGAGGTGTGCCATGAGGGACTGAAATCAAAAGTGGAGAGAGATAGGGTTAGTTTGATGTACAGCTACTCAATTTGCCATAATGTACATTGGGAGATGGCTCTTGACATGCATGTGCATTAATCTAAAGCTGAGAGCCTGGGTTGATGGGAACCTTGGCAGTTGTCTGAAAGGAATTGATTAAATCAAAGGTGTTAACTGTTTCCTTGCTACTTGATGAGTGTAAGAAGGAAGCACCTGTAAGCAGTTAAGAACATGTTCCAATTTTTTTTTGCTCTATTGCCCTGGGTAGAATGCCATGGCGTCATAGCTCACAGCAACCTCAATCTCTTGTCTTTTTTTTTTTTTTAATTAAATCATAGCTGCATACATTAATGCAATCATGGGTTACAATGTGCTGGTTCTACACACCTCAATCTCTTGGGCTTGAGCAATCCTCTTGCCTCAGCTTCCCACATAGCTGGGGCTACAGGTGCCTGCCACAACTCCTGGCTAGTTTTTTCTATTTTTGAGACAGAGCCTCAAGCTGTCCCCCTGGGTAGAGTGCCGTGGCATAGCTCACAGCAACCTCCAACTCCTGGGCTCAAGCAAGTCTCCTGCCTCTGCCTCCCAAGTTGCTGGGACCACAGGCGCCCGCCACAACGCCTGGCTATTATTTTTTCGGTTGCAGCCATCGTTGTTTGGTGGGCCTGGGTTAGATTCAAACTCACCACCTTAGGTGTACGTGGCTAGCGCCTTAGCCACTTGAGCCATAGGCACCAACCCTGTTTTTTCTATTTTTTAATAGAGATGGGGTCTCGTTCTTGCTCAGGGTGGTCTCAAACTCCTTCCACCTTTCAGAGTACTAGGATTACAGGCATGAGCCACCACACCCAGTTCATTTTCCAAATTTTTAAATATACACCCCAATTACAATACTTCTACAGCCAATTTGGGTATTCAATATGTTATTTTAAAAAGAATGGAAATCTGTATCTACCCACATTTTTTTAAAGTATGGTTGCTTCTGAGCGTTTCAGAATCCAAAGGTCCCCTTTAGTGGTCCCCTTTTGATCAATACATATCCCAGTGGAGACATCTAAATGTATGTCATTCTAATATTTTTCTTCTCTCACCTTAAGGCTTGATCGGCGCACCTTACTTTGAGGGCTAGGGATCTCAAGGTTGAAATAGAATTCAAGGAAGGACATTGTAAGGAAGACCCTGGACCAGTAGCTTTGAATTGATAGTAACAAAAATTGGGTTCATGTGTAAGGGACGCTGTGGGCAGGGATTTCTGCACCAAGGATTCCCCGCAGGGGCAGTTCTTGAGGCTCTGGTGGTAAGTTTGATACAAGATGTCAAGATGACGGTGAGGTGGACAAACAATGAGGAAAACAGCGGTAGAGGAAGGCAGGAAGACGCCCATACTGGCATTGACAAAGTTGCGGGGAGGTGGTGACTTAGGAACTGGAGGAGCAGCTGCTCCAGCACCTGTCCACGGTGGTGCCTCAGGTGTTGCTCCTGCCCTGCTCTTCCTTTTCCAGCTGTACTTGCTGCCGTACCCTATCAGGCTTCTTAGCGTTCTAGGTCCACGGAAATGACATGACGTTCTCATCCTAAGGACCACAAAATGTTGCTGAAGAGCAAGGTACAGGGGCTTTGAATACAAGCCACTTTCACCTTTGCAACAAGTTGTGCAATCAGCTAACTGGCTGGCGGGTGTGGGCGCCCCTGACACCCCGCGCGGAGGAGGGAACACGTGGGGCAGGGGCGGGTGGCCGGTTTCCACGCGCGCGAGCCCTTTAAGGCCAGGCCAGCGCAGCGGAAGCGGGTGGGCAGCACGTGGCTTCACCAGGTGCCCTTGAGCGAGCTGCGTGGCCATGGACGTGGGCGCGGATGAGTTCGAGCAGAGCCTTCCTCTGTTGGAGGAGCTCGTCCTCGGCGCCGACTTCGTGGGTGAGGCGCGGGGGGCTATGGGCATTGCCAGGGTAGGGAGTGACGGCAGATGGTGACCAGGCCACAGGGGCTCAGAGAAGGGCCCTTGGGAAGGACGAATGGATTCCTTCTTGGGGGCCCATGGACGGTGGGACGTTAAGCAGCAATTAAGTCCCGAGCCCCGCGTACCGTATGTATTGGCCCAGACCCGCTGCGGTCCAGATACCTCGGGGGGGGGACCTGGCTGGTCCTTGCTTTGGCTTTCTCCGTTTTCCTTTCCAGATCTCTCCTGGTTTCTTGAGCACAGATGGGCCACCTGCAGCATGTACAGTGTAGAGTGGTGGCTGTCGTCTGTGCCTGGGGACTCTTGTCTTCGTTGCCTCTCCCGCAGGTCTGGACATAGAGTTCACTGGCCTTCGTTCTAACCTGACTGGGCCCCAACAGATCAGGTAACGACAAAGCTGTCTTAGAGCCAAGCCAGAGGCAGCTCGCTGGTGAACCCTCTATACAAGGTCCTGGCCAGACCAGGCACCCTGTTGGCATTTGGGGGCAGAACGACATTTTACAACATTGCTTCCACAAGCCAGGGGGTAGGGGACATGGCTTTTGTCCACTGAGTCTGTCGTGTTCCCTAGTTGTTGAAACAAGGGGAAAGTGCTGCCTGTAATTGGGAGCGGCTGAGGCCTTGTGCCTGGGTCTGAGCTCCTCTGCCACAAATGAGATACCTGTTTTTTCACAGTCTTTTTGATTTGCCGTCGGAGTGGTATCTAAAGACCCGTCAGAGTGTTCAGCAATTTACAATCTGTCAGATTGGTGAGTTTAATATTCATGTATTTGTTATCAGTTATTCAAGAAGATATTTTTGCATCAGTTTCCTACTAGTTAAGACAAGCTGCCCCCTCAGTAGAGTACCATGGCATCACAGCTCACAGCAACCTCCAACTCCTGGGCTCAAGCAAGTCTCCTGCCTCAGCCTCCCAAGTAGCTGAGACCACAGGCACCTGCCACAATGCCTGGCTATTATTTGGTTGCAGCCATCATTGTTGTTTGGCAGCCCGGGCTGCATTCGAACCCGCCACCTTAGGTGTATGTGGCTGGCACCTTAGCCACTTGAGCCACAGGCATTGAGCCACTAATTTTGGTTTTGACTATATCATACCTATGGGATCAAAGCTTTCAGCCGTGAGAATATTTAGTGGCATTGTTTCCATGCCTAAGGGAATCAGTGTTAAGGAACACTGCTGTTACCTGTTCCGTCTCTCAAGTAAAAATATATGGGGTTCTTTTTTTTTTGGCCAGAGCCCGGTTCAGCCACCACCTCCGGTATATAGGACTGGCGCCCTACTTTTTGAGCTACAGGTGCCGCCTTTTTTTTTTTTTTTTTTTCCAAAGAAAATTTACACAGGGGCAGGCTTGGTGGCTCATGCTTGTAATCCTAGCACTTTAGAAGGCCAAGGCAGGTAGATTGCTTGAACTCAGGAGTTCAAGACTAACCTGAGCAAAAGTGAGACCTCGTCTCTAAAAATAGAAAAACTACCTAGGCACTGTGGTTCAGGCCTGTAGTCCCAGCTACTGGGGAGCCTGAAGGAGGAGGATTGCTCAAACCGAAGTCTGAGATTGCTGTGAACTATGACGCCATGGCACTCTACCTAGGACAATAGAGGGCAAGAGAGTGAGACTGTCTCAAGATAGATAAATAAATAAAACTTACTTAGATTAAACCATAATTTTTTTTTCACTTCATGGGGTTTGGAGATGTTTCTTTATCAGCTCATACCGATAAATTCATTTTTAACAGTCACATAGTATTCCAGATTATGAACATACCCATTAACTTTGTCTCCTAACAGTGCATACTAAGTCACCATTTGTGTGCCGTCTGACAAGTTTGCATTGACTATCTTGGAATTTATGTATGTGTATCACTGTACTGTTGGAGTATATCTCCTCTGCCATACTTTTGGCAGTGGAGTTGAGGAATTAGAAAGTATATGTATTCAGATATTTTGCTAAACTATTTCTCTTCCTACCAACCATCCAGAGTTCACAAATGACTGCAGCGAAGGTGCCTATTTCCCTGGCTAGCACTGGATATTACCCCTCTTAAAAGTATTTGTCCAAATGGTATAAGAAGAAAAATATAATTGTTTTACTTTTTTTAATACAATGGTCAATAAACATTTTCTGTAAAAGGCTAGATATAAATATTTTAGGTTTTGCAGGCATTATGCTTTTTTTTTTTTTTTTTTTTA